CAGAGACTGTGCAGAGACTTCATCATTTAAACAATCAGAGAATCAATGTGCAGAGACTAACACTTTAAAATCTAGTGACTTTTCACAAACATCTTTTTGCTACAAGCTTATGCTTACTCAACACTTTTTTCATGACTCGAATATGGTGGTGTTCATTTTAAGTGAAAACATTCATCCAGCAATAAGCAGATTATTTCTAAGCTCCGCTAAGTCCCAATTTCAGCTATATTTCGCTTGGAGTCACTTCATAGTTTGAATTCAAGGTGCTTTGTGGGCTTACCCCAGTTATGTAGGTAAATACACAAGGATTTATCGACTTTACCTCAGTTATGTAGCTACTCCCTTAATTTAAGTTTCTCGTGAAATTTCATTGAGGCGTTGCAAGATGGGCTGTAGCCAAATTCTCTTTCCTGTTTAGCTGATGCTCATAAAACCTCAACATTTTTCATTCCAATTTTTGTAGCTGTTTACAATTGATGAAGACCCATCTACCTAGACATCAATGATGTCACAGAGGAAACCCCTGGCTGTGTTTCACCGGGGCGCTGCCAGCCGCTGCCAGCGCATTCCGTGAGCTAGCGTCAACCTCTGGTAGTGTCGGAGGTATAGGCTTGTTGATGTCTCTATGTAACCCAAAAATGGCTGGCAGAGTGCCGCGAAACACCAAATGCAAATATATTTTGCACAATAATGGTGTGATAACTATTCCTGCAAGAACATATCAATATAAGGTGAAATGAAGTAAAATCAGGTCAAACATTAATATATACCCAAAAGAAGCAGTGTATGGAGTACCTATGTTCACATTACCAATAATATGATGCACAACAGGCCATAGAAAAACCGGTGAATGTTGAATCGTAACCCAATTTCAATATCAACATGGCACTTGGCATTGACAGTAAAACACACCGTTTTTGATGTTAAATCAACAGAAAAAACTCCTGAACATAAACAAAATGATCAGAATATATATAATAAGGATAATAGTATAAATAAAAATCGACGAATCGGCCTATCATAGCCCTTACACATTCACCACTCCCAATCCCCATTCCACGCACAGATTGTTTACCTCTTGGTTTACCCCGTGTTCGCAGTCTCCCGGACGACGAAGATTCTTCACGCCGTCCGACCAATCACGTTCAAGATCAGCGGGGCTTGGCCGCGGTTCTCGAACGCCATTGGCCAGATTACGCAGAATCTTCGTCGTCAGGAAAACTGAACACGGGGCAACATTTTTCGCTATGGTAACAAAAGCGCCAGAATTGACTACCAGAATTGGATCCGAAGGTCAAATGGGTCACGTGACTGTGCAGTTCAGATGGACAACACCTGCTTTTTTCAATTTGTACTTCTAATCATTTTGTATACAAAACGTTACAGCAATGTATTGCATTACTGAACATTAACCACTAATTCCCAGATTCTAATTACTAACTCAAGAACTCACATACACTCCAGTTAAAAGGCAAACTGTAGCTTCGATTTGACTTTGATCCATTTGTTTCCTGATTCATGGCACCATCACTGTCACTGCATTATAAATACTCCACCTATACTCCAACCTCCTGTTCGAAATACAACTCAAACACACTATAAAAGCCTATCACATAATAGATACCATAAGTAAAAACAATAATAGAAATAAATCCAAACTATGAACGCGATGACTGATAAAATATACACCATTCAACCTTATTATACGACACAAGCCGTCGACTTGTCAAACCTCGACAAACGCAGCGCAGTTGATCGAGCTATGCCCTGGAGGCAATTTTCTATCGATTTAGTGCGGAATAAGTGCCAACAAAATAAAAAAAGTACCGAGTGAGTAAAACTGTAAGCTATCTGAATTTTCCCGAAGACCGAGGCAGCTTGCTAAGCTACCTCCGGCGGAGGTGGCTAACGTGGCATCGTGGGATGCCAGATAAGGACCAAGTCACACCGGCTAAGAACTGCTATGAAGCAGTGTGCTTACCTGACAACGGTGACAATCGTAAGGTGTTGCCAGGTGTGAACCCGGTGTTAGCCACCTAGGTGCCTTAGCTGCGTGCCTTAAGTCACGTTGCGAACGCGGCTAATGATACCCACCCCACCACCCTCCCCCTACCCGGTCCAACAGGGTCTCAAGGAAATTCAACAACATGAACCGAAACAAAGGCTGCGATCTTTGCTGGAAATGGCACTCGTGAGATAAGTATTATTATGCTGAAGATACAACGACTTACTTGTTATTTCCGAGTATCCTCCACCGTCAGCTACGCTAACCACCCACACAATCACCGTTCAAATATTTAAAACCACGGAGCACCTTCACAACGCCGGCGCGCGGCCGGAACTGACATGGCGGCGCCGCTGCAGCAGAGTCAGACGCACGTGGATTGTTAGTAAGGGTGTAGTGTTGTCATGGTGTTGCCATGGTATACCTTACCATAGCAGCAGAAGCACACCCAGGGAACTGTTGCAAGAAATTTCTGGCCTTTCGTCCATAAAACTATTAATTGCTCAGGGTCTCAGCTAGTCCTTGGATGACGCTCCTTCCAACATATCAAAAATTGGCAAACACCTCTATGGAAAGGAGGAGACTTGATCGCCGAATTCACCTGCTGGATCCGCCCGTGGAAAGGTTGATTTTACTATGGTAGGGAATATTAGCTTACGAGGGTATCTACTAGCCTCAGGTGGTTACCACCTTGTAAACTGGGGTACAAAACCACCCAGCTGATAAACGTAACCATGGTAATATCAACATGTCAAGGCAGGATAGTATTCAGCACCATAGTAGGCTGGTAGTAATATGATGGTAGGCTGATGGTAAAATTTACCAAAGCTAGTAACTTAGTAAATTGATGGTAAAAACTTTTTTCAGTGTATGCCCCCTGCTTTCGACGCCCATGCTATCTACACGGTGACTATAAATATCTATAGGTACCTAAAACCGTAAACGTGCTAGCGGCTTGCTAGCGGCTGTGAAATGGCTTATACCTAGGTACTGGCTATGTATGGGTCTATGGGGCTAGGGCTTACATAGATGGCGCAGTCAATTTCATTTTCAAATAACAAAAACTTTTCCAAACTACCTTTACCCATGCACGTCGGTGACGCGATCAGCTGCAGCCTGAATTCAACGAAGATTAGTAAAAATCAAGTCTCTTATATATGGGTGCAGTTATTTTTTTACATCTTAGTTTTTGTTTACGCGTTTTTAGACGTTTCTCGGCGCACTGTTGTTGAAGTTATACAGGCCTATTTTACAGCTATTTTTGATTCACAAAACTGCTGCAATTTTTATAAATTTTTTTTCTGCATATTGGCATTTTGATGGAATTGGAATGCATTAAAAGATTTTCATTCTTAAATCTCGAATTCCAATATAATAACAATGTGAATCGAGCCACGCTCGTAGTGAAATATTACGAATCAATGATAACAACAGTACTACCGGCAGAAAATATGTAGTTACCGCGATTGTATAAGATAATACTATATGTTCCGCGTGAAATTGACAGGAGATACCACAAGAATAATAGCCTAAACAAATATTGAAATAACTGAAAGCTCATAATACCCGATTAGCACTGCTAACGCTGACCATTTTCTTCGATCATTAAATGCTTACCATAGTTCATACCATAACATCTGAAGATAATGAACTTGAACCTCGAAAAGCGAGTTGTCCCGTTTCAGTCTCAGTTTGTGCGGTACTGGGACACATTCATTATCAGTGAGTCAAATGAAAATTGTCCGGGGCATCATGCTGTGATCAAATGAACCAGTTAATATGTATAAAATCTAGTTATTGGCCAAACGTAACGGCCACGGACCGTAGGTTGACGACCCCGAAATTTAGCGAAATGAAGTATAGGTTCAAGCAGTTTAAATAATGTTGGTGCGTGGAGTTGAATAGTGATGTAAATGTGGCCACAGTCTACAACCACGATAACAAATATCGATTGCGCTTCGCTCAACCAGAGCCATGCTCGTTCTTGCTCATGAAGCAGTGCATCCCTATAAAATGAAAAGTCTGAACGAATGCATTCAGGTTCCTACCTCTGAATCACCTTATATTGAGATCCGTTTCTTAACAGGAACACAAACGCGGCCCATCAATTCGTCAGTACTAAGGCAACAACGTCTGACAAGTGACAACGCATCAAATGGCCAACTTCTGACACTATCTCAATCTACCAATACGGTAACGGCAACAAAATTGCATTGCAAAATGCAAATAAAATTGCACGACTTCCAAGCGCAGTTTGAAACCAAGTGCGACCAGCTAGTGTCATTTTCACAACCAAGTGCGACCAGTTAGTGGTCGACCTTAGTGTATAGAGTATGTAATGTATGTAATGTATGTAATGCAGTTGTAATGTATACACATTACAACTGCATAGGTACCGCAGAAACACATTAGGGGCGAAAGGAAACACATGGCTTGTGTACGACCAGCGTTCTGTCAGCGTACGACGCATAAAGCAAACTGCTCAAACAACTGCGGTCCCGAACAACACAACACAGAGCTCCGAAACGAATGGTTTACAAAAGTCTACGACTGACGACATCGAAACAGTACGTTCATCGGGACTAGTCACATGACTCGCTCAACCCAGCTGGGTTATGGGTACTAATTGCGCTTCAAATTGACCTCTGATAGCCATTTACTTACGCTAGTTTGATGCATAAAACTGTACATTGAAACTCAAGCGGCAGCACATAGGTCTCCATCAAGGTGGTTATATACAACAGAGCACCACGCTAAAACGAGCGCGAGCCGCACTGTCACACTGACAGAACACTGAGCCGCGAGTCGTGACAGTCGCACTGCGTCATATGCACGCAGATGTCGCACTCACGGCACCGTTGCTGGCACTGCGCTGCGGGTGGACACGCGCGGTGCAGTAGCTCCACGGTGTGCGGCTCACCGGAGGGATTACCAGTCTCCGACCGGACAGTCCAGGCGGGAAATGCGATGTCTTCAATCATGACCGCCGTCCCCGTCTCCGCGGAGTGCCGCACGGCGGCGACGCGGCGGCGTCGGATCTTGAGCTGGTGGACACTGGACTCCTGCCAGAGCTACCAGCTTCAGCCCTTCAGCATCCTGTCATCAGCAAACTCCAGCAGAGCTCCAATGCAACTGGGAAAATAAAATTTATGCTGTTAAGCTAAATCATGCAAAACATTTCCTTGCACAGGATTCTCTTGCGCAGTTCAGCAAAATCTTCTGTGATATCCATGGCCGTGACAAGAGGACTTTATGCCATTGTAAAAAACATAGGTTCATTGGTTCTCATTTACCCACATCGAGCTTCTATAGGTACCATTCATTTGTATATCATGATGTATGTTAACTACACAATATTTATGCAATAGACTGACATGAAATATGTAGGAATGGCAAGAGAGATGGGTAAATAAGCCAAATAGGTTGCAGGACTTAGTGGCACCAAGCAGGTCAGAAAGTAGAAGTTCAAACAATCTTACAAACTACACCAGAGAAAGTCTTTGAATTAGGTACAAAATTATGCCACAAAAATAAAAGCAATGCAGTTATGTAGAGCATTTCCCAAAAGATAATTGTGATTCAGCCTTGCTCCCATTCTGAGATTGAATAAATACAAATTATGGGATGAAAGTTACTAAAAAGCAGTGTTTTTTTTTTTTTTTTAGAAAACAGCTTCAATCCATGTTTGCCTGATATCAAACTCAAGGCAACATATCATAGCTTTGACAGCATGAAATGTCATTATTGGGGTTACAATTTCCATAATCTTGTCACAAACAGTGCACTTTAATATGTATAACTAACACCAAATCAGCCAACCTTGTATCTTTATCTGGTGAAACTCAAGAAACCAATAAAGCAAACAATTTCTGAGCAAAACATTTCAGTATTTGACAAGCTCAAGCACCATGCAGCCACTGGAGTATGATGGGGTCTCGTAACTTGAACGTTCAGTCTGTAAGAGCATGCCTGACTTGACTTAACAGATTTGAGGCATCACAAAGACCTTTGCAGCAGCTCCTTCTATTCTTTTTTAACATAAACTTTAAAGGGACCCTCCCACCTTAACATTAGTTTTGAGTTGAGATAGCCAAGTTTGCGGCCAGGCTCAGAAACCACCATTTATCCTGGTCGCAACCCCCGCAGCTTTATGGTGTTCAAGAAATTTCTTCCGTTTACTTGCAGGGTGGGACCAGCGTGGTCCCTATCTCTTAACCATTACGGGAATCTGATGACGTCATCAGGCTTTCGAACGTCCGTTAAATGTTTGACTAAAACGTTTTGTAGCACGCGGTGGTATATGCTGTTTGCGCGCAACAAATGCCGCACTTTCAAATAAAGTCGCTAGGAACAGCGGAGATCCCAAAAAGTAAACAAAAGTAAAAGTCTAATATCTTGAAAACCGGTGAATATTTTTCGATGAAATTTGGTAGATATTCGTTTTTGCTCTTTCTGAACCGAGCGACATCACTTTCATGCCAATTCATTAACTTTTTTGAAGGTGGGAGGGTCCCTTTAACTATCATTACCATGCTATGATGATGAGATGGCTGGTTTCGGGAGCATGAAAAGTAGCAGCCCTTCCTTCATTCTAATTCCTTGTTTTCACATGCTGCACAAAATGTTTTTTCTTCCACGTTCCTTCTGTCATTATAAAAAATAATAGGTATCATAATTGCTTCAGTTCTTCCTTATATTTCAAGTATTGCTGCTGTAATTCATCACATCTCCCGTTAGTAAACCATTGCCCTATGGCCGCTAAAGTAAATAAGTGGAATGCGCCAGAAATTGTCAAAATCGCGCCAAAATAGCAAACTAAGATGAGAAAAAATAACCGCACCCTTATATATTAAGTGTAGGCTGCTTTAATTTGCCACTCGTGTCCCATTACGATTCGACGCCATTTTGTGATAATCGGCATGTTTTCTGCGTCGCAATCGCCGCATACTCATTTTCTCATGCCCGAGAGGAGGAGTGTGGATGCTCACATCTAATTGTTTTCTATTTATAAATATTTGCTTTCATGCGTGAATGATACGTTTGAAAGGTGACACGTGAAAAAACTCTACCTTTCTTGGTGCTCGCTGCATACTACCGGTGAGTTTTTTAAAAAGATAAATGAGTTAAATTACCTACTTAATAAAAACAGTGGTGAGGTCAAGGTATTTCAATTTTATTTGTAAATGTAGGTAAATGATTCAGATTGCATATGGAATCCAACAAGGACAAGAACAATATTCAGATTGCATAGATAAACTATGGTATAGGTTAGCGAGGCTGTTTGCAAGACATTTGACCAGAGCCCAGAGGCCAGTTTTACCAACAACAACAAAAAAAAAATAGCCGCGTGCTCAGTTGGGCAAACTAGACTTTTGGAATCAAAATATAGAGGCATCAATAATTTCATTCTGGTGGGAGGAGCCATGAACAAATATGGGCATGAAATCAATTTTTTGATTCATTTGGGTACACTTTTGACTTCAAATGTATCGTTACGGTTGAATAAAGGCCCATGACGGCCAGACTGCAAAGTATGGCACGCAGGTCGACGGGGCGCACCGGCCCAAGTTCAAAATCCGCACCAACCCTTCAAACTTAGCCGGAAAATCCGCACCAAAGTGGGCCGAGAGCCCAAATAATCCGCACCGAACCCACAGGCAATTATAATGCAAGGGACTTTATTCGGTTAAAGTATACATTGAGTCAGAGTGACTGTTAAAAGATAAAGTTTTCATATTCTTACATTATTTGACATCCTGAATCCAAAAATGATACTTATATGTCTTGGAAAAAAAAACATAATCAAACCTGACCTAACCTTACCTATTTACCTACAACCTACAAACCTACAAACCTACAAACCTACAACCTAACCTAACCTAACCTACAAACCTAAAACCTACAAACCTACAACCTAACCTAACCTAACACCTACCTAAATTTTTTGCTGTTACATATTTGTATCAACAGCGTCACAATTGTCCGCTCGGACCTAATGTATACTAATACCCTTCATTCATATCACTATAATTATTTCCCGTCCAATTTCAGTTTCACTTACCGCTTGAGCAATGCTCACCACGGGACCGCGCCGCGCACTTGTACCGGAAGTTTGAAATGAGCAAATAGACGGACGCCGGTGAAAACGGGGCGCCGGAATGCATAATGGGTCACGTGACGTTCGGAACTTCTCCGCCCAAGAATGCTAAATGTCACGTGCGAATTTCACGAGCCTTGATCAAATCGCCCCAACAAACTTTCGTATGAGTAAAACCAATGACGTCTTCCCAAAGTAGCGTTCTGATTGGCAATCCAAACCAGCTGCTCGCTAATGTGACATACCAGTCAGCACCGCAACCAGGCTTTGTTCTAATGACGTCGTCATCACGATAATTCCCGAGGCGAGAATGGATTTGTTCTGCCGCAATTGTTAGTTCGTAGAGTAAATTAAAAACCTTGGTCTCCTCCTCGGGAGCACACTGCCACTCCCTACCCCGGAGAGGACTGAGAGGACGCCATTTCGGTGCACCAGATGAGAGCGGGCCGCTGGGGCCGCTTGTTCTAGTACATGCACTGAATCAGCTGTCTCCAATCCGCTGAGAATGCAGAGAAGAGGCTTATGTGCCGAAGTACGTGCTGCTCCGCTGTCCGGACCTCTGGCTGTTTCCCGCCAGTCTCGGACGCACCGCTCCGCCGTTTTTGTGGCCCGGGAACTTCTGGCTCCGGCCTTGTTTCATGGCATGATGCTACAGCGCGCAAAGCGTATTGAAGTATTGGGTTTTCATGGAAATAAAAAATTCGGATGCTCAAACATGGGGAGAGCGTCCAAGCCCCGGAATGCTCTGTCTGGTCGATATAGCCTTGATCGGTAGATGTGCACATGTGCTTTATATAAAAGTGGCTTAATTTTGGCACAAATAGGTTCCCAATATTTGGCGCGAATCATGTAGAAATTTCAGCGCAAAACGCTTGTGCCGAATCGCAAGAGGGTCTCACGGGCGTCTGGCGTAGTGTGTGGATGTGTTCCAGTCTGGTGTGTGCAGATGGTCACAACTAATGACATTGTTTACTGCACTGCTGTCAGGTTAGATGATTGGTATGAGGCTAGGATTAGAGATAAAAACGCTAAGACGCCAAAGGCATAGCGAAAATGCGTCGTTCATCACCATAAAGCACCATCTATTAGCTTGAACAGTAAACGGAGGATAGGTTTCATGCCCCCTGGTGTTTGGCATCGCCCGCAACCCAGTAAACGGAGGATAGTTCTCATGCCACCCGGTGTTTCGCACCGCCCACAACCGCGCTCCACCATTGGAGACTGCAACGCCTGGCACTTTGATACGGACAAATCCCGAAGCTGAAGATCTCATTCTACGAGGCTAAAACTTCCCTGGTAATGTTTTCTCGCCAATACACATTAATCTGCGGGGTTCTGCATTATAATATGAATATTTTTTTGTGTTTTTACTCACCCTTATTTGGGCAATGGCATGTATGTATCACCTGACATCTGTGTGTTCCCTCTGCCTGCAGACAGAGGTGGAGAGAGGACGCTGACGCTCTGAGGGGCTGGCCATGTCGTTTCCGGGCCGCGGACCGCCGCTGATGCCCGGCATGCCGGCCATGTCTCTGGTGCAGCACGCCTACCCCATGCAGCCTCTGATGCAGCAGGCCGTGCCGCTGGTGCCGTCAGTCATGTTCGCCCAGCGGGCCGCGCTGCCGATCCGGCCGAACCGCCAGCCAGTGCCGCAGACCACCTACAGGTACTGAGCGGGAGAGACACGGTGGAATAAGGCGCACCTGTCGCACGCATAGTCACGGGTGCGTGTGCTTGTGGAGGCTGTAGATAGGACTTAGTCTATGATTGGTTCATGGTGATTTAAGTGTTATATTTGTTAGGGGAATAGCTGTGTGTTTAGGGGATAAACTTGTCAGGCCTTCTTGGATTGCTTAGTATTTAAAAGTTCAGTGTTGTTTTATATCATACTGTTTTGTGTTTACTTTTTTATCAGCCCACTACGAAATGTAATGCTCTTTCGTCGTTGCTTATGGACCAGTAAATTGCAACAATTTTATAATTTTCATAGTGAACTGTCCAAACGATACAGCTCCCCCCCCCCACCGTGGATCATTTGTTGACCACCTGTTAGACCCCCTCCCCCCACGTTCACCAGTTGTCCACTGACCGGTACCCGCTCGCCCCGTCCGTCCACTGACCGGTACCCGCTCGCCCCGTCCGTCTAGCCGGGGACCTCTGAACGCCGACCGCTCGCAGCCAGCGTTCAGCCGCCGCACCAAGGAGCCTCTGGGTCCGCCGGTCACCGTGTTCATAGGCAACATTACCGAGCGTGCGCCCGACGGTATGGTCCGACTCATCCTCAATAGCTGCGGCACCGTGCACAACTGGAAGCGCGTTCAGGGCGCCTCTGGAAAGCTGCAGGGTAAGCTACGTAACTGTGCGTGGACGAATTTATAGTAGTTTGTGAACTTATTTGCCAACTGCGTGTTTTTTTACGACTGGCTACAAGTGCTTAGCTACTGCCAACTGAATGTATATTCTCTGATAGTAATTTTCAAGACGAGATAGCGGTCATGTCGGTGACTTTTATTATGTCCTAATGATTAGGCCATATCAAGAGGACTACCGATGGTCCACGTTCCGTCGTGCCACTCACCACCTGTTCTATCCCCGCAGCGTTTGGCTTCTGCGAGTTCGGTAACCCGGACGCAGCGCTGCGCGCCATCCGACTGCTACACGATCTGGATGTGTCCGACAAAAAACTGGTGGCCAAGGTCGACTCAAAAACGCAGGAGGTGCTGGAAAAGTACAAAGTAAGCACAAACCGAACGGGTTGTATGGATACATTTGTCCATCCTCTCTCTCTCTCTCTCTCTCTCTCTCTCTCTCTCTCTCTCTCTCTCTCTCTCTCTCTCTCTCTCTCTCTCTCTCTCTCTCTCTCTCTCTCTCTCTCTCTCTCTCTCTCTCTCTCTCTCTCTCTCTCTCTCTCTCTCTCTCTCTCTCTCTCTCTCTCTCTCTCTCTCTCTCTCTCTCTCTCTCTCTCTCTCTCTCTCTCTCTCTCTCTCTCGCTCTCGCTCTCGCTCTCGCTCTCGCTCTCGCTCTCGCTCTCGCTCTCGCTCTCGCTCTCGCTCTCGCTCTCGCTCTCGCTCTCGCTCTCGCTCTCGCTCTCGCTCTCGCTCTCGCTCTCGCTCTCGCTCTCGCTCTCGCTCTCGCTCTCGCTCTCGCTCTCGCTCTCGCTCTTTCTCTCCCCCATCTCTCTCTTTCTCTTGATTTTTTGTTTGTTTGCTGTTCTTTATGGGAAGTTTAAAGCTGCCGATTATTTTTGTTATCTTTTTTATTGACACGATTCTGCTAGCATCTACGTTTTAGACTGAACTCAGACAACTGCTTCAGACATTCAAGCTGTTGCTGGACGGTATTCAGACCATCATGTAAACTGTCGCTACGACGCCCTCCGGTACCCTTTTCGCACTGTTCTCACCATGCCCTCTCATCCCACCTCTCCCATGCCACTGCACTGCGCTTACAATCTCACCCGACACCGTTTCACGCGTCCTTTGTCAGAGCGAGAAGCGCAGCAGCCAGCGCCGCTCGCCGCTGCAGGACGAGACGCCAGCCGCTGATGACGACTACGTGGACGCGGACATGCGGGCCGACGACGAGTCGGCACTGAAGCGAATCCAACAGATTCTGGCCGATTACGCGCAGGACATGAGCAGCTACACACCGCGCGGCCGGCGCGACCGCGGCCGGCGCTCGGACGGTGAGCGAGCCGCGCGCTCCCGGCGCTCGGATGGCCGGCGGCCGGACCGCGGTGAGCCAGCACCCGCCCCCGCCCCCGCCCGTGCCCCCGCCCGTGCACCTCTGCCTGCCCTGCCCTAACCGTGTCGCCCGCCCGGCCTGAATCAGGCCGGTGGCGGGCGCTCGCTCGCTTTTCTCTCAGCTGTTTGGTTGATGTGGTTTGCATACATAGCTAATAGCTATGTTTGGTTTTGCGTGTATTTAGCGCTTTCTTCGATAGGTCGATTTTGTGTCGGCACGTCTGTTCCTGCATCAGATGTAGCAACAAGCAAGCCGCTTCCTGACTGCAACTAGCTGCATCTCTGGTTGTGGCTGGCACGGACATTTTGAAGTGCTTTTGGGTGACCCGTCTATTTTTATCATCTGTTCCGTGTACATATTATCTTTGAATGTTCTGTGTAGTTTCACATATATGTAGTACTTTTTTTTGCCTTGTAGAAGGCACTACCTATCCTTCATGTGGGTAAGCCGTTAGCTGCAACTCTGTGGCTTCTTCTTGTTACCGTGGATGTTTAGTGAGGCATGTGTATCTGGAGTGTATCATCCATCGCATTTTTGTGCATTTCACCAGCTTTTTTATTCTACTTTTCGCCAGATGTTCTAAACAAACTGGGCTTTTGATAATTATTGTACATTATTAAAGCTCTGATGTGTGTTTGTACTAGTACAAAAAAAACTTTCAACAGCTCCGATAAACTTGTCTATTAGGCTGCGCGATTTTCTAAATAAAAATTGGAATAGTACAGTTAGACCTAACCTGACCTGATCCTGCCACCTTTCCAGACCCCTTTGGGGTCTGGAGGTATTTGGCAAAAAGTCCTTGATAGTTGGTACACCCTACTGCTCTCCAATTAATTATTAAACTGACAATGGCGTGCTGTCGAAAAAGAAGACTGTGTGTGAAAAAGAAAAGAAGGGTTTCATATTGATTGTTTTCATTGGTTTTGGTTTTAAAAAGTCTTCCCGAATTATTTGAAATAATAAAGTGTCGAGCTTTTCCGTGATCGGCGTCGCGGTCATCCTCGGATTTTTTTAGCGTCTTTGCCTGGGAGCACGCCAGTGCGCGCGCGTGTATGTTTTTCTGTGTGTTTTGGGAGGTGTGTTTGTGTGGACGTGTTTCTGGCATACTGGCTCAATCCGAAAGCAACTTGCGCTCCGGAGCATCTTCAACACATAACCAGCACAACCCCTGACGGAGACTGGCTGCCCTCTGCCCGCAGGCGACCGCGACTCGAGCCGTCAGAGGGCTCAGGAGAAGGTTATTGAGCTCAGCAAGTCGGCCGTGACGGTGGAGGACGGGCCGGCCGTGAGTTGGGCTCCGGCCGACGGGCGCGGGTTCGATTCCCACCAGGGGGTTCTTTTTTATTAGTTGTTAAGTTGTTGCACGTCGTGCATGTCGTGTCATTTTTATCCGTAATGTTTGTGTGGTAACGTTTTTAGAAGTTGTGTTAGTTTTTGAAAGCTAAATATCTTCTTTTGAGTCATGCTAGAGCGCCAATTCATTTTTGTATTTGTGCTTTTTTGTCATGTTGGTGTTACCGATATGCTTTTAAAGCATAGTGCATCTAATATCTATACTTTTATAATTAATCACTGAAGATTTTAATCCTGTCTCATTATTCGTAAGTTTTCACTGGGTTGTTGAACGGGCTTAGCTCTTTATGTGTCGCACTGGCTTTATCTATGTTTTAGGTACTGATGTTATTGCTTGTCAAGAAATCACCACGATGAAAGTTAGAAGTAACGTAATTGTAGCCTTTATCAAAGTCTCCGGACATGCGTCACTTTTTCTCCACTCTCTGTAACGCGCTCTCCGTGCTCCGACAGAATCTGGAGGGTATGGAGGTAGAGGAGGAGAAAAAGGACCTGATCTCGCGCGAGATCGGCAAGTTCCGTGACCAGATGAAGGTAGGTGTTCGGTCCGCCGCCGACCGACCGTTGTGTATCGCCCGTGCGCGCGTGCTGTGTGCGTTGTGCGCCGCTGAGCGACCCTCAGTCGCCTCGGGCCGCGGTCACGGCCGCTGCCGGGCCGCCAGTGTCAGTACTCGCCGTGCCGATGTGTGTGCCGATGTGTCACCTGTGCTGGGTGTGTGGTGCGGACGCGGGCGGGTCGGCGGCGCCGCGGTCCGGCCGGCCGGCCGGGCGGGCGCCGGCCCGCCGGCGTCTTCCGGGGCTGCGTGACGCGAGTTTGGCAATTCTCGGACCTAGGCTTCGGTTGGGTGTGCCGTGTGAGATCCCGTGCCCGCTCGCGGCGCCACCGGTCCGGTGAGTAGAGCCAGCAGACTGCAGCAGCGCGCTGACCCCCCAGCCGCCCCCCAGGGTCCCGCTCCCGGGCACCCCGCCGCCGCCACTCCCAGGGGCCAGGGCCACGGGTCGCGCTGCCTCGGGCCCCGGGATTCAGTTCGCAGTCCCCAGTTGATTTGTTGGTGTTTTGTGGTTTTGTTTTTCCCTGTGTAGATACCTTTAAGAGTTGCAAAATGTCGCTTAAATGCTAATGCTAATTTACAAATCAATTATTTTAGTGGTTTATGGTGAAAGTACCAACGAGGTGTCCGAAGATTCAGCGTTGAACATGTTGTCACAAGTTTAGACTGTTTCAAGGTAAGAGAGTGTGCGAGACGCCGCTCTTTTAGTTCTAAGTTCTGCACGCTTGTTTGTTTCGCCATTTACTTGGTTCTTTTCCTCGCGTTCTTTAGCTGGCATATCAAGCCTGGAAAATGTTTTTCCTTGCCATATCAATTACATTTATCCTATCTACTTTATCACCTAAAATACAGCTTTTTCTTTTTGGAAATTCTAAAACTTTACGTTTATACAAAGTATCATTCATGATAACCATGCACTTGTTCTACTATAATTGAAGCTAATACACCATTATCTGTTGTAAGGTCTTCAGAATGTATGCCACGAGGCAGAGTACGGGGTCAGTTGAGTGCTCCTCCTCAGGAGGCCCTCTCTCCCCCTGTGCTCCCACCATACTGACGGTGTCGGAGCGGCGCCGCGACGGACGCTCCGGCGTCGGCGGGCCGCCGGGCTGACCCTCTGAGCTTTCAGCCACTCCCGCCGGCTCTGGCCGCTCTTATCCTTTACATAGGGTGTTCGTCGAGCCAGCTGGCGCCACCGTGTCCGCTATGTCACAGCCAACAGGTAAACAAAGATGACCCACACTGTCACACACACTGTCACCGAGCCAGAACGCCCAGTCACACAACATATATAAACGCACAGGGACGGTACCGGGCCTGGCATTGTCTTCATACATACACCTTTCACGCACGTAAGAAACTTGCGAGACACGATTTAGATGGGAAGATTAAATTTTAGACATACTGCGTGATTTGCTTTGACCTACTAGTATATTGCAGAAGCTGAAACGATTCCCCGGGGACAATTATTTTGTACTTTCATTAGCTTTAAGTTAATGAACTTTAATTAGAATTTGCTAGTACCCTTTATCATCCAAGCAACTTCTATCACTACTTAAATACCATAAACACTATTGTAATTATTCAGACTTGAAGACTTCGCACTTCTTGCGAAAACGTCACCACGTAGCAACTTTTTTGTTTACCTTCTTGAGTAAAACGTCCAGTGAAAACACACTTTGTCTCATCAAATCGCCAAAACACAGACTACCTTGTGTTCATTGTTTTGTTTTATTGTGTTTCGAGCAGTAGCTACGGGGGGCCAGCCCTGCCCGCTCCCTGTGTTTGATTTTCATCTACAAAACTACACGGGGTATACCGGAATAGATAAGCTTGGAATGCGTAGGGATAAACTTGATATTTGCCAGCGGAGTGGTCGGCTTTGTGCCCAGTCCTCCGTTTTTGAATTACGAGCATAATCTGTCGGCAGAGTGTCGGCTCGTCACTCTGCATGGTTATCCTGGGTAATGTCAATGGTCCCTATTGGCGGGGAGTTGCTGCCAACGTGACATCTAAAGCTGTTATTTTAATAGGCCAGCCTCCTGTTAGAGAGGTCAACAGCTATAAGATTCATCGGTCATTTTATCGAGACGAATTGGCAATGAAATGCCATGTTTAGGTATATGAGTGGTTATCTTTTAGCCGTTGTGTTAATTTCGATTGAATGACTGTTATATCTACATCTTGTTTTCCTTGCGTTTACCTCTAAGCTTATCAATTTCCACCCATCATATGTTTTTCACTGTGTTCCTTTTTGGGGAACCGATCGCGTTTCTGATGCTCACGACCTGCGCCGGTGCTGTGTGCGCCCAGTTGGGAGCGCGGCCGGGCTGGCCGCCCTGTCGCCACTCGACTCGCCTGTGTCGTGCTCGTGTGTGTCCGTGTGTGCGCGTGCCTCTCGCGGCCGCCGGAGCCGGATGGGCGTCCGTGGTGAGCGGGCGCGCCCGGCGCCGGCGCCGCCGCCGTCCGCCGCCCGCCGCTCACCGGCCGCCGGCCCGTCCGCAGCGCCAGGAGGAGGAGAAGGAGCGCACCCGGCGCGAGCGGCCCGAGCGCGACATCTCGCCGCGCGCCGGCCGTCGCCGCAGCCGCAGTCGCAGCCGCAGCCGACCAGAGCGGATCGCCACGCCACCGCCGGCGCCGCCGCGCCGCCGCTCGCGCAGCCGCAGCCAGGTCAGCGAGACGACTTCGGTGGCGGCCTCGACGAGCTCATCGCGCGTCCGGCCGGGCAGAGAGCGGGAGAGGGACAGAGAGAGGGAGCACAAACGACGCACCAGGTGGGTGACCAGATGGCAGCATTGAGGTGTGGGGACGTTAGAGGCTGCTTTATGGTTGAATCATGGTTGATCCCGTGACTCATTCACTGCAAAATATAGCACCGTGCATTTGCTATCCTTCGTCGCTATTGAGTGAAAAGCGATTGCCCATGCCTTGCAGCTCACCGCTCCCTCTAGCCCCTGCCCTGCGCTGGGATGGAGGCCGGACTGAAAGACTGTGGTTTCCGTGTGACCGCGCCCGCCGTGCCGTCCGTCCGCCCATCCCCGCTCTGACACCCGGGGCCGGCCGCCAGGTCCCGCGAGCGGGAGGAGGAGCCGGCCGTCCCGCGTAAATCGGAGCGCGACCTCAAACGGGAGAAAGAGGAAGAGGAGGAGGCGAAGGAGAGGAAGAAGCTCGACCGGAAGGCCCGTGAGAAGGAGGCCGCCTATCAGGTACGTCTGCCGCTGTGGCTTTCGGTGGGGATACGGGGTGTGATATAGTATTATTATTGCAGCATAAATTGACAGTGTTTAGGGCGCTAGTGTCAATTTGGTATTTGTATTTAGTTGCAATTGTATTTATATAAGACGTCTGTCCATATTCATAGAAGTATTTAATCATGTGGGATGTGAACCTGATGGATAGGCCCCGGTTTGAAATGCAGACACTGGTGGGTGACCGTAAATGGTATGCGGTACCATTTATCACCCGCTCGCTGTTGCGCTTTCTGGCCTCTCCCCCTGCAGGAGCGTCTTCGTAACTGGGAGACGCGCGAACAGAAGCGGCAGCGCGAGGTGAAAAAGGAGGCCGAACGCGAGAAGCAGCGCGAACACGAGGCTCAGCGCGAGGCCAAGAAGCTCAAAGAGTTCCTCGAAGACTATGACGATGAGAAGGATGACGCCAAGTATTACAAGGGCCGCGAGCTGCAGCGGCGGCTGGCGGCCCGCGAGCGAGAGGCCGAGGAGGACACGCGCGACCAGCAGCGTGAGAAGGAAGAGCTGGAGGAGCTGCGGCAGCGCATCCAGGCAGAGGGACACAACGACCCCAGCGCAGAGTACGAGCGGGTGAGTGGCATGGCGGAGGCGGTTGAGAACCGTGACAGTGAGGCTGCCTGGCTGCCTACCATGGAAGGTCATTTGGTGAGGCTGGGGTGTTTCCATTTTTATGTGATACGATGGTCAAGCTTCCCTCTTTTTATTTGAATTGTGTATTGAGTGTCATGATCATGTGTTTTATGGTGTAATTCTTATTTGTGATAATTATCGATAAGCAGGCCTTCGCCCGGCAAGTCTCACTCAGATCACCCATTCTTAGACCATCTGCGACTCCCCCATGCCCACCCGGTGACACCCCGCCTGGTCCGTCCGGCAGCAACGCGCCGAGCGCGAGGAGCAGTACCGTCCCAAGCTGCGCGTCAAGCCCGAGCGGCCGCCGTCGCCGCCGCCGCAGGTGGTGGAGCTGGCGGCCACCCCGCCGCCGGCGCCGGCGCCGCCCTCGCCGCCACCACAGGCGGCCGACTCGAGCGATGGCGGCCGCTCGCCGTCACCGCTGCCGCCGGCTGAGGATAGTCTGATGGGCCAGTCGAGTCCGCCCCAGTCGAGCCGTGCAGGTGAGAGGCGCAGCGACGGCGGGGTGGTGCTCGGTCACCGACACCAGTTGGGGATAAGACAATTTGAGACATTACAAGGGTATTGTTCTGCACACTTTATGATTGGTGTCCACTGTCCAATGAGCTCCCGGTGGTTAACTTGGGAAAAGTGTGGGAATACAATGATACTCCTTGCTGTTTTTTGCGTTATGTTTGTGCCTTTATTGTCATTTCCCTCACGGTACTCCTTGTCGCCGCAGAGTCTGTGTCGCGGTCGGCGGACGTGACGCCGCGCGGCCCAGCCACGCCTCTGACGCCGGCCGCACAGCTGGAGGCAGCCGCCGCGGCAGCCACCACCGCGCCCGCCCGGCCCCCGGCCGCCGGCAAAAAGAAGAAGCTCGACGTCAAGGATGTGTTCAACCAGGACGACGACGACGGCCACCAGAAGAAGAGGCGGAAGCTGGTGCCGCTAGGTGAGTCCGACGGGAGGAGGGTGTATGTACTTTGTGACTCACCCTGAAACTTGCCTTGCACTGCTGTCCGCTGTGCTCATCACTACAGCTTCCCTCTAGATTTTAATGATCGGCGTTTACTTCACTTTCTTCTATCGCTGGAGATCAGGGAAACCATTTCAATCATCTTCATTTTTCTTACGACTATTTTTTTTTTGTCTTGCAAGCGGTCTTTGCCTTCATTCTAGATGGCACCGCGGCTGTTACGACTTTTGCATGGTCGCTGTCCTTCATCGCTGGCTCGCTGCGCTCGTACTGTTCTCGGGTCCCGTGCCGTCCCTAACCTCCCACCTCCCCTACGCAGATCACGACGACGACACCAAGAAAAAGGAGGAGAAGAAGCGAGCCGTCAAGTCGCTGATCGAAAAGATCCCCACCAGCAAAGAGGAGCTGTTCAGCTACACGGTCGATTGGGACGCCGTGGATAGCGTGAGTAGTTATAGCGGCCGGTGGCGGAGTCAGGAGCGGTGCGGTGCAAGTACCTTATTTTTATGGGGTCTGATGTAAGCTGGGTGTTTGAGTGGATAAAACAACACACTAGCTGGTTGGCCGACGTGGGTGGTTCGGGTTACTATTTTAACATAATTTCGAGTCAATCAGGGACAGTTCTGATCGTTTTCTTGTTGCCTGATTATGTGGCTTTTTGATCATCTTGCTGTTGTGTTCCTCGCGATCCTGACAAACGCTCTAAATAGTGTTCCCTAACGAACGTTTAGCGTCGCCCTCCCCGTATGGAACATCACAGACTGAAGAACTATCCACTTTCGTGTTTGACGTCACTTGTATGACGCCACAGACGCTGATGGAGCGGCGGATACGTCCGTGGATCAACAAAAAGATCGCCGAGTACATCGGCGAGCCGGAGCCGATTCTGGTCGACTTCATCTGCTCAAAGATCCTGGTCGGAAGCACCCCGCAGGCCATTCTGGACGATGTGCAAACGGTGAGAAAGGGGTGGCAAAATGTAGCGAGGAAACAAGGCGGTTATTACGGTAGACGGACCCCACGCATTAGTGTTCTTCTCTGATTTTTCTATGAGATGGACCCGTAGTGGATCTACTGTTGATTGAAGGTGACAGGGAGGGCGGACAGGTACATTAGCGCATTGTAAGATTCATGCTGAAATAACTATAAGTCAACATAATTAAGTTTGCAGTTACGGCTGCCTGTCGTGCGTTCGTCCTCTTGTCGAGCCTGTCGTGCGTGCGTTCTGTCTTCCCTACTTTCGCGGTCGTCTCCCCGGTCGCGTTATTTGTGTATCAGTCTCCACCCATGCGCGGCACCGGGCTCCCTCCTCCGCGAGTAATCCGGTTGGGCTGTCAACGACGCAGGCGGGCTCGGCCGCCGCCGGCCGCGGGATTATCATAATCAGAGTGAGCGGCCGTCGGCTGTGTGAGCGGTGCGCGTCCGTCACCGGCGGACGCGCTCTGCGGACAGCGGCGCACTCGCCGAGAGGCGCGCGCGTGGGGGGAGGGGGTGTTATGGCTTGGTAGGGGCGGGGTTATGTGTCATGAGGTTAGCGGATGTAACCCTGCCCGGTTAGAGCTTTGGAAGCAGTCGCTCGTGTGTGGCAGGGGTTTCGATTTTTATGACATTGACTGGCGTAAGCCCTACGCATCACCGCCTGCTTGGTTCTTCTGACATTGCCAGGCAGATGTAGTTCTATATCATGAGGTACCAGCTACTGCGTACCGAGGTCCGTGCGAAATACGACTCTGTAATATTCGGTCCCGCCAGTTTACCGAATATGTCTAACGCGTTGCTCGCTCTCATCACCTGCCCCGTCTCGCGAATGCAGTGCTCCTTGAATCGGTGTCTGAGGGCCTCCCTGACTCGCTCCTGCTCCGTCGACAGGTACTGGATGAGGAGGCGGACGTGTTCGTAGTCAAAATGTGGCGGCTGCTCATCTATGAGATCCAGGCCAAGAAGAACGGATTGGTGAAGTGACCGGAGGTGCCGGCGGCCGGCCGGGCCGACCGCCCCTGTGATACGTCCCCCGGCGCCCGGTCGCCAGTCGCCTAGTGCTGTCTCCGCGAGTCGGACGGGCTCGGCTCGGGTGTCGGGCCGCGCGCCTTCTGCCGGGAGCCATGGGAAGGTGGCCGGCGGCCGGGCGCGGCCGTCTGTCTGCCAGCTGCTGCACAGTCGCCGCCTATTCATATGTATGCATTGCCATTGTGTGTAAATACAAATATCCATGTGTAAACGGTCTTTGCGAAAGAACGACTCTGCATCTGAGAAGTAATGTGCATTTGCCGGTACATTTTTCTACATAGACAGCACTAGACTATGTAGACTAGAGTGAAAACTCTCGTCTACATATGATAACTAAATGATATTCGTGGGTAATGGGGAAAATTCCGTCTTGCATGGGGGTTGGGGAAATCCGCTGTGATATCGACCCGTGTCCCTTGGTCCGACCGTATAGGCCCGGGCATCGACCTGACCGTAATGCCATGTAATCTACTCTTATTAGATTATCCAGATTGAGCCATGCGCGAGCTAATGCAGGTCCTTTGGCCGGCGGGAAATAAGACGCAGAGACCATAGCAAATTGTGTGAAAGTACCAAGCATGTCCTTATCAAGATGCGTCTTATGGGCTGAACCCCTAATTATATTAATTATCTCTGCAGAATGTGTTATCGGGATAGAAGAGTCCACAAGCTCTGCGGATTGGTGTATTATTCGAAAAAACATGTTCGGGCGCTTGTGCATGTGCAGCGGTCTTCATCTTGACACTGCACTGCACACACAACACAGGTCGTCAAATGCATATGCACCTATGCGTTCACCAGATGCACCACCGGGACGAGAATACTTTGTTTGGAATTCACACATCATATGTTCGCTGTGATACATCGAACGCCTCGACCGACGCGTGCCTTTGACAACTTCCGAGCACCTCGACTAGCGCGGATTCATTGTTTTCCCTGTACTCTACTGTACTTCATCATCCATTGAGCACTGTGCCACCGGTCGCTGGGCACAGTGATGCAAATGGGGTTCACGAGTGGCCATAAATACCCAAAAGTCAAGTTTACCAAATCGAGTTAATTGCGATAGGGCCGAGTAGACAAATGTTTGGGGCATCTGAAATCACATGGTTTTCGTGTTTTTGTCAAAACCGGCCTCGTGTATAATCGTCAGAAGTCGTGACATTTTCTAGGTCGTAAAATGACGGTCAGACACTCGCAAGTTCAAACGCCGCTGGTTTGCGTTCATTTCGTACAAATTGAAAAAATTATGCATGAGAATGATCCCCAAAGCCTTCTGCTTCTAATGTTGGGTCACAAAAAGCCGTATCTCATTCGCTTTGGCGGTAATCTGACTATTTATCATCATGTTGCAATCGCAGTTTTTTACTAAGAAAAAAAAATGCTTTCGTTTCACCTACAGCACTTAACACAGTGTGTGCCCGTTAGTCCACCATACCATAGCCTTCCCTAATCATTTCTGAGTCGCATCGTGAAAGAATTAAGGCGCTAGCACAGGGCTGACCGGCGCTACAGAGGTTTTTGTCCGGGCGGTCGGGTGCCGCAGTGGGCGCGCAGTGGGCGCGTGGGTGCCGCCGCGCGGCGTCCGGGCGCGGCGGCGCGGCGGCCCGCTGCGCCGCGGCACCCGACCTTGACCCGACCGTGCCGGACGAAAACTTCTGTAGCGCCGGTCAGCCCTGTGCTAGCGCCTTAATTCTTTCACGATGCGACTCAGAAATGATTAGGGAATGCTATGATATGTTGCACTAACGGGCACACACTGTGTGAAGTGCTGTAGGTGAATTGAAAGCAAATCTTTCTGGTAAAAAACTGCGGTTGCAACATGATTACAAATAGTTAGCTCACCGCACTGAACTCTATAATGTGGAATGCGCATCGGCCGCCAGATGGTGTCCAACGGTGCCGCCATGTTGCGCAGACCAGAAAGCGGCCGCCGCCTGTGTTGGGGAATAGGAAATTCGGGACTTCGATTTACGTTTGCGGCCGCTGCATCCGTTACGTTCAAGATATGTAGACACGGAACCCGGCATCCTACGCAGAATTGAGTGGAGAACAAGATGACATCTTAAAAAATCCTCGACTACAGGGAACTTATACGTTAAACCCTTATAAGTCAATGGGGAAATATGGAAATTGCTATTTTGGCGCCGGGAATGATCTGAAACTATCTCAAGCATATAGAATCGTGATTTCATGCACTCCTTGCAAGGTCCAATGCCTCACATTTGCACTGTTGCCCTTGCGTGACGTCATCTGTGACGTCACAAGGGTCATAGCCTTTTCTTCAATAACTCCCGATCAAATTGAGCTAGCGAGTTGGGAAAGCCACCAATGGACTCAGGAAGACCTGCCAAATCGAATGATATGCGACATGACCTCTTTCGACCAACTTCGTGACCTGGGGGTGCTGACCTGACCTTGACCTGAGGTCAACACCCTAAGTTGACCTGACCCGAACAAAAAGTATATCACTCGATGCGCCTGAGCTAGCTGAACACGATGATGCCAAAATCGCGGCTCTACGGCTATTTTTGGCGAAGTTATTTACCAAAAACCGAACCCATGCCTTTGATCACTTGACCTGACCTCAGAGGTCACCGGTTGACCTGAGACCCTTACAGCGGGTTCCTACCAGTCACTCTGCATTTTACTTTGCCGCATACGACCACTTTACCGCTTAATTCTAGTTTAATTAGCGGCGCATTAGCAAGGTGGGTTCAATCAACCCCCTCGGCCGGGGCAAATGTAGGTCCGGCGAGTGAATTTGAGGAATTCTGAAGATACGATCGTGTTCCCCACTCAATTCTGCGTAAGATGCCGGGTTTCGTATCTACGTAACTTGAACGTAACGGATATGGTGGCCGCAAACGTAAATCAAGGTCCCGAATTCCCTATTCCTCAACACAGGCGGCGGCCGGTTCTTGGTCTGCGCAATATGGCCGCCACCGTTAGACACTACGGCCAATAGGGTTGAAGCGGCATTGCTCCCCTGGCTCACCGCCAAACCAAAATAGATACTGCTTTTTTATGACGTAGCATTAGAAGCAGCAGGTTTGGGGGATCATTTTCATGTATAATTTTTGCAGTTTGTATGACATGAACGCACGCTAGCGGCACTTGAATTTCAAGTACCTGACAGTCATTTTACGACATCGAAAATGTCTCGACTTCTGACAATCCTACACGAGGCCGGTTTTGACAAAAACATTAAAATCATACTTTTTCAGACACCCCAAACATTTGCCTGACTGACCATATTACGATTTAGTCGATTAAGTGAACTTGAATTTTGGGCCTTTTTCGTATTTATGGCCACTCGTGAACCCCATTTGCATCACTGTGCTGGGGCGGCCCTGTCGTCCCGCATCCCTCGGTCATCTTTCGGTCGTAGTGAGCTCGTCCGCCTGGCGCTGCAGCTCGCCGCTGAATGTGGCCACAAACACACTGAGCAGCATCAGCCAGCTCCACTCGCTGGCGGCGATCACCAGCTGGATGGTGAAGGGCGCCGTGCCGGGCCGCCAGCCGAGCTCGGCCAGCACCGTGACATTACAGGCCGAGTCAGCGCGCAGCTGCAGCTCCTGGTAGCCGGACGGCTTGGCCAGGTGCACGCCGGCGAACGCCGCTACAAAGGCGGCGGCCGTAGCCAGCAGCGCCCAGCGCAGCACCTTCAGCCGGGGCTGGCTGGGCGGAGTGAGCACGGTCAGCACACAGCACATGGCGCCGCCGGTCAGACCGAGCACTGCCACCGCCGACAGGTGTACCGAGAGGTACTGGTCGAGCGGCGCGCGGGCGGCCAGCGCCGTGGCGCCGGCTCCCACCACTCCTAGCGCCAGCACCAGCCGGCTCCAGCAGGGAGGCTCGCCGCGCCGCTCCAGCAGCGCGCAGAGGCTGACGGCGCTGATGGCGCCGGCGGCGGCCGTTGCGGTGGCCAGCCAACTGAACAGCGGAGCCGTCAGCGGGCACAGACCCGCCTCGCTGATGGTGGGTAGCAGCGGGCGCAGTGAGCCGTGCGCCACGCCCACGGAGTAGGGCACCAGCAGGGTTGCCAGCGTCAGCGCGGGCAGAACGGCGGCCAGGAGAGCCGCCAGACGCCACAGCTGTGTCGGTGCCAGCAGGGCGCCCATCGGCCGCGACAGCCGCCGGCCGGCCCCGACACGGCTGGAGGTGAACGATCGGATGAAGACCCGGAGTCTAGTGGCTAGAGACGGCACCTGGTCAGTAGACGTTCGGTGTGAGCAATGGTGACAACAGGACGCTGAACTCTCGGAGAAACGTCCTGCCCCGTTCAAAGTGATGGACTGTACGACCTCGGGCGCAAGTTATCTGGTGGCAGCCGGAGAACTTTGTTACTTGGCTTCCGTGTTGTGCATTCGCTGTTCCGAACTGCAGGTCAGGTCAGTGGGCCTTGCTGTGCTGGGATGATGCCTTGCAGGAAGGTCAGCTGATGTGGTGCGCTCGTGTCCTCCAACCTTTCGAGACGCGGCAGCTTTTCGACACGTTATGCGCAGGTCTGGCCCTAGCCATCAGTGGTCAGGCCTAGACACTCAGAGGTCAGGCTGAACCCATCGGAGGTCGGCCGTACCGTTCAGGTCAGCGGCCGTCGCCTAAGCCGTAGGGAGGATGTCGAGGTTCTTCAGACGCGCCGCTGGAAAAGAGACGCGCCGAGACGCTTATTAGAGAAAATATCATTCCTTGCTCACTGCGTGAGATCTGGTACAACAATCGTTGACTTTTGGTGCCAGGAAATTAATATCGTTTTTATGAAATATATCAATAGATATGCATACCTTCTGGGCCAAACGATGCTACATCTTGATACACATTATTCATGCACTGCAGACCGACGTCATCGTTGACGCTAACAAACGGGCAGCGGTCGCGGACTCTATGAACTCACCGTGAGGTCTAGACGGGGGGTCGGCAGGTGTGTGAGCAGACAGCATTCGGTGCGTCCGCCGGCCTCCTGACGAGTGACGGCCGCCGGCCAACACTTGTGGCACGACCAGGGGCGCACCCAGGCCGTGACCTTGGTAGGCGCCAGTCCATTCACCATATACGAGTGATGTGCAGATACGTGATAATATCACCATTGGAGCATCACGTTCATTATTGGAGGGATGCCTGAACTTACCACAGGCAATAACCGCCTTGATAAGTGCAATGTGATTGTTAACATATAACCCAGAGCTGTAAAACGTTCCGCCGTTTGTTCTATCCCCTTTCGCCTGTATTGCGATAACATGTAAAAACCTTGGAGGCCCGCAAGTGGGGCCTCGAGATGTGCCGCCTCACAGCGCAGCACATTTCAAGTCGTACCGCTAGATGGCAGGAGTAGTAAACGCCTGAAGTTATGCTGCACCGCCGAACACTCCCGGCTGTCTGGTGTCAGTGCCGTTCGCAAGACGAATGTTTGTAAGTTTTTCGGGGTGAAGAGTGAATTACTGATTATTCCAGGCGTCGTGCACCGGCACTCGAGTTGGCTGTGCCTCTTTGGAGGCTACATGCACTGTAATGTGGTTTACGAGGTCGTTGTCAACATCCATGCATGAGAAGATTTTATAGAATAAACACCGTTTCCTCTTCCCATCTTCAGGACAGTCAAGGTTCCTCTCCACACCGCTAACCGCCTGATCCAGGCTGGGCAGTCACTTTCATCCAACGTGGGTAGCTCCTCAGGAGCAGGCCCATCGTGCGGTGCAGGACGTGACCGTTAGCGGGGCTGTTAGCCTGTCCATCAAGAGGGCCACAGCAACGGCGACGCACCAGGGTGGCCGCCCAAACCAATGGTTTCCCCATAATTCCTAATATCCTTCCGTTCCGGCTTTGCAAAGGTGTCGTGTCAGCCGTCAGGCCGAAAGAGCCAATGTGTCCCCTAACAAAACAAAACTATCATAATCAGACTGATTGTTATATTTCTCTTTCTTACTGTTTATAGCTAGTTGCTAAGCAAGGCGCTGTCATTTCCGGCCCAGTTGACGCCACTGGCAGGTCGTTTTTTAAATAAACGGCATGTGATGGGAAAACGATGGGTCCGTTGAGAGTTAGTCTGGGTGAGCCTGAGTTTGGGCGAATTTTGATGCATCCGGGCTATCGGAGTAAATAGCGAATAGATCGTGCTCGGCGTTCATCATATACCTTATTCAAATAAACTTCCTCCGATGCTAGGGAAGCTAGAATATCAAGCATGCTTACACTCGACATAAACCATACAATTTGTTAGGCTGTTGTTGATAGCCATCCATGTCAACATCTAATTAATGAATGCTCCCCATCTTCCTCCAAAAATGTACGGCATCTTTTTGGGTCATAATTTACTCCTGGTCCCATTGATGAATGGTGGGTCCGTTTACGAAATACGTTGTAGGTAAGTCCGTATGGTAAATAAGTACTCCTTCGGTGGGCCAATGTGGAAAATAGTTAATGCTCTGTGAGTCTGTGTGGTAAAAAGTAAAAACTCTATATGAGTCCGTGTGGTAACTACTCTTTTTACGTGTTAAAGTGTGGTAAATACTGTCGGCTTCATTGAGGTAAATTCTCTCGGTTGGCTAATGGCTAGTGATGTAAATACTTTCTTGGTGGGTTTGTAATTTGTATGGTAGGGTAAGGTGCCTAATTAGCGACCCCCTTAATTTGAACCGTCATTGCTCACGCTCTGTGGGTGCCACTGTATTACTGGCTTGCTTTTCGGATAGATCGTTCATTTTTCTATTAAAATATAGTCATTTTCTGCCCCAATATTCACTAACTTATTTGTAGTGAGCATTTTGGCAAACCATTGCAAAAAACGCTAATAGGGAACTCTTCCCGATTAGCGACCGGGGAGGGTCGCTAATAAGTCTATGGGTTTCCCCACATTAAAAATGGCAAAAAAATGCGACGCCTGAAAAGATGAAATATGATCTCAAAAAGGTACCCTATACGCAAAGCACTCAATCACTCGAACAGGAACGTTTATCCAACACATTTACGTAAGTAAAAACTGATCACGTGATGCACCGAAGGCGAAAAGAAGGCGGAAACCCAAATTTTGCGGGCTATCTCGTATGATATTCGAGGTCCGCGCTGAATTATGCACCCCTGCAGTCGGTGACGACATTTGGCATCCCCTGCCACACATTGCAAGCTTCAGCAAAACTTCATTTTCATTTCTCACTTTCCCCTTTCTTTCCCTTCTTGAGCTATTTGCGACCATGTCAGGCGCAGATAGGAAATATGAGTTGCGACACATTTTTGACCGCCATGCTGTGCACAGTTGAGCGATTCACTATGGGAAAACGGCAATCAATTGAAAAAGGAATGTCGATTCAAAATAAAAAAGGTGCATCATCCTAATGTGCATCGCTTTTCATCAGAGAGGGCCCAAACACACACGTTTTGGATAAGAAACTTAACATTTTTATTTAAACTCATCTGAAACGTCCCACCAGAAACATCGACGACCGGAAAATAATTCATTTTGATAACCAAAGTATAGCTGACCTTTTGACGATGTTTTTACCCCGTTTTCTCCTGCCAGTTTTTCTGTAGGGAGGTAGGTCGCAAATCGGAAAGGGTCGCTAATTAGGCACCTTACCCTACTTATTTGGGCTTGTGTGGTACAAAGGGAATATATTTTGTGTAGAAAATACATTTTCTCTGCCAGCGGGTCCGTGGGTAATCACTCGTTCGGTTGTAGTAGTGTGGTAAATATTCTCTCAGTGGGACCAGGTGATGGCCACTGACATCAGGTTGGCGGCCCGGCGCCCGATCTGGCTTCCATGCAGTCGCGGGGTTTCCCCTCCAATCGGTTGGTGCAGCCGTTCTGTGCAGTGTCTGTAGGACGCCGGGTGACTGCCCGCTGCTCCGTGCGTGTCCGCAGACTGACAGACAGACCGGCGACGGCACGCCGCGTGTCCCGGAGACTCGACGGAAGCTCTGTATAAATCACTCGTCAGTTCTCTGAGCTTTGAACATGGCAAAAGACCATATAACTGGCACATTATGAGCAATCCATCGATGTCTCGTACAGCAAAGCCAATCAGCCAGTGCTCTAGTTTTTTTTTTCGTGAAACCCTGCAGTGGACGACAAAGATTGAAAGGCGTTTGTCACAACAATGGGTCTTCCAACTGAATAATTCATGGGCGGTGATCAGCGCTCTTTCCTAAGTGTGTGAGCACTCAGGTCTCATAAATATAATGGTTGAACTTTCTGCCAATGTCACCATACATGGCGAAACAGCGGGCACGCTTTTAAAGAGGTATTTAGCAGGAACTTGGCAAATGTTTTCATCCATGAAATCATTGTTGTTGTAGAGAGATGAATGATATAACTATCCAGCTAGTCTCGGATTTCCTTTTCATGCACAGTATACGTCTACAAAATGAATCCCCGCAGTAAGCGGGTCACCAGTGGGCAGTTAGCGCCTGAGCGCTACTCAGGCGCCACCTGCCCGCATACGGAGAGGACTTATTTTGTAGACCTATACTGTACGGCTATATCACTTATGACACAACCATTTTTCTAACTTCTATATCGTTTGAGGTTTACCTTTCCCTTTTCTTTGATTGGTCGACAACCTGCACTTCTCACGATCATATTTCCAGATATGCGTTATGCGTATCAGTACCTATATGGCTGATCCACCTCGATCAATCTGAACCCAGAACGAGCTCTCCTAGATTGACCTGTGTTCCATAACCGCAAGATCACCATCCAATCAGGAAGCGCTACCAATCTTGGACGGATAACGTAGACCTTTTGGCGAATGGGCAGCGGCTGCTATGCCTTCACCAATCAGAATAAGGCTTACGTTTTCTGTATTATGCCGTTTCATACTGCCCGAATAATAGTGCACCCATTTGTGTACTCCTCATAGGCAGCCTTTATAATGAGTGATCGCCCTTTCACCATCTTTTTTTGGCATCTTTGATATAGCCAGTTGTAACCTGTTTAGTGTTTATCTCAACCATATGCTCGTTCCCGTTTCTCCTGGACTTCGAAACAACTTGCATTTCTTTCTGTGCTAGTAAGTTTCTCGTTTACTCGTCTCTCATGCGTTTTTATCGCAGACACGCAGCCCTACAGACTCGTCAGTCGTCATCTCGGACCGACGCGCATCGCCCTCCTCCCCCCCCCCCCGCTCCG